GGGAATGCTTTGTTTTTATTGGAATAGCTCAATAAAGTCACTACATCAGCGGATGTGTGCATGAGGTGATGTCTGTGTGTTTTAAATTTTATGTTATTCCAACTTATCCTTCATTAACATTGTAACACTGATCAGCAAAATGAGTCCTGTTCAAATAATGGACCACATAGCTTATGAGGTCACTAAAATAATAATAGTATATTTAAGTTGAAAGTGAGAGAGAAATGCTTGCATGCTCCTTAGGTCACTGATCTCTTCTTAGGTCACTGATCTCTTCTTAGGTCACTGATCTCTTCGGTTCCTCTGTCCTCCTGTTGCATGGACTCATGTTAATTAGCTATTTGGGTATACCAGCTATCCCATGGGCACAAGAGAAAAGATGATTCCTCAGAGGAGACAGATATGAACCTGACCCTTGAAAGGTGAGAAAGACTGTGATTCTAACATTTCTTTTTCCTCCACAGCACTTAGAAAACCCTCGATGGTTTCAAGATGAAGTTACAGATTCATTAACTGCTTCTCAGAATAGAATCCCATCCTTTTCAGACTTGACTGATCTGATCAATAAAGGTTTGATCTCTGTTCCATGTGGATGATTCTTTTTTCTGAGTAAAGGCTCAGCCAAAGCTAATTGGTGATGAATACATTGCTGACTCTGCTGGGAAGGGGACCAGGAGGGTTTCTGTATGGAAAAGGCTTGCATTCAAACCAAGATCTTGATGAACTGATGACAATATCTCCTAAATTCTTAGAGAGCTTGAATCTTTTCCTGATATAATTTTAAGTTTTAAACATTGAAAAAAAAAAGTAAATTTTTAATTTTTGAGGTGACATTCACATGAGATGCAATTAATCATCTTCAAGTAAAAAATTCAATAGCAGTTAATACAGCCATGATGTGCAGCCATCACCCCTACCAAATTTCAAGACATTTTCATCACCTTGACAGGAACCCCACCATGTCCAATAAGTCCAACTCCGCATCCTTCCCTTTTCTTTCTCCAGCCTTCAGCAACCATAAAATGCTTTCCATCTTGATAGATCTGTCAACTCTGCATATTGCATGTAAATAGAATTATATGATATGTGATCTTTGTGCCTAATTTCTTCCGCTCAGTCTAATATTTTTGACTGATAAACTAAATACTCCATGTAACTGATAACCACATCAAGAA